TGGTCGCGGTCGCCGCTTCCCACTCGCCCTCCTCAGCGTCGCGGAGATGGGAAAAAAAAGGGGGGGGGGGAGGAGTGATGGCGGCACCGGCTGATTGAGGGCGCGGGCTTCCGTGAGCTCCACCCGGCTGCCTCTCTCCGTGCTAGCCCATGCTGCTTCCGCCTAGGCTGCGGAGGGCCATGAGGCCGAGGGCTGAGGCCGTCCTCTTCCTTTTCCTCCTCCCCTCCCTCGGCAGTAGTCGGAGCCCCCAGTCACGAGAAGGAGCAGAGGCGCTTGAGTGCAGCGGCGAGAGGAGCTGAAGCCAAATCGCGCCCCGTGCCAAGAGCCCCGGGGGGAGGAGAGAAAATGCTGCTGTCGCTGCTGCTGCACACTTACTCTTTGCGCTACGTGCTGCCCGCCGCTGTCATGCTGGGCACCGCGCCCACCTACATCCTGGCCTGGGGGGCCTGGCGGCTGCTCTCGACCCTGCTGCCCGCCCGCTTCTACCACAAGGTAGACGACCGGCTCTACACCATCTACCAGAGCATGGTGCTCTTCTTTTTCGAGCACTACACCGGCGTGCAGGTGAGGCAGGGCGGATCACGGGGTGTGCTGAAGCTGGAACTCTGTTTTCCCGCTTGTCCCTCCAAGCCCACCCCAGCGAGAGAGGCTGCAAAGGGACCGGGGAACAAATGGAGATAGAGGCCGCTGCAGGCTTCCTAGCCCCCAAGCAAAGGAACCCGCAGGGGAGGCTTTGGGGGGGCTGGTTGAGCTGTAACCTCCCAAAGCAGCAGATGGAGAGGCAGAGTCCACCTGTGTGCTCAGTTCAAAGTCAGCCAGCATCACAAATATTGGCAAGAAGGAAGAAAGCAAGCTGTTGACCTCACTTGTCGGGGTCCCCTCTGGCACTAGGGATAGTGAAAGATTTTTAGATTATGAGGTGTGACAGCTGCAGTGGACACAGCTCTCCCTCTCTCCCTCCCCAAAACCTAAAGGGGGGGAGGATGCCTGTGCAAGGTAGCAAATACAGCAGCTGCTGCTTCCAGGTCTTCCTGACATATTTTTCTCTGTAGCATAAAACTAAGGCACAAATACCATTAATGCACCATAGACTGACTTGCCTTTCAGTATGAAAGTTGTCACTATTTTCATTGCCCAGAAAAGAGACAATAGATCAGAAGTGAGGGACTGAAAGAATGTTGATGTACATAAGTTACAATGTGTGTTGAGATAGGTGGCTATAGAAATCAAATAATTAATAAATCTTGATTTTGGCTGATTGACTAGGACCTGGCTGGCTGGCTGGCTGGCAAAATAGATAGGGAAGTGAGCAAATGCAGAGGCATGGTCCTGTTTTTCTGTTGAAATCGGTATTTTACCAAGGGACAGGTCCAGCTTTAAAACCTGCATGGAGTCAAGGTTTATTCCCACTATTACTGCCATGGTCTCATTGGATTTCTCTGAAATGATCTAGTTAGAGCTGCCCAGTGGATGGTGTAATGCAGATTTGGAGGTTGAACCTTAGAATATATCTATTTTTGTTGGATTTATATTTTACATTTCATATAGTAAACTCAATACTTGTTCCTACAGTTTTTCTGACAACAATCCGGTTGAGCTGATGCCTGAATTACCAGAGTATCATTCTGAAGAATGCTATTCCACTCAAACTACTATTCTTTTTGCTTACATTTTGATATAACTGTAATAGAACTGGCCCCCAAAACAGTTTTTAGGGACAGGAACTTTTGTTAACTAAGCTAACTAGGTTTTTCCCCCTCAAAAATGATTTTAAAAGTTTCTCCCCATTTTTTTTCAGAGTAAATATATGTGCTGAATCACCTGAATTAAACTGCATTAAATGTTTAATGTGTAGATGATTAATTAAAAAACGTTTGCATTACACAGTATCAGCAACAGGTTTTAACTTGCTTTTAACTGTCCCTTTAAGTTTCTTGTTGCATAACTGTTGCAAGCAGCTGCTGGAGCTATAACTTTTGATTACAATATATTTTCCATTCTTACATTCCCACAGACTCCATTGTAGTTTTAATGAATAATTTTAATTTCATCAAATTACAATTCTCAGTTGTCAACAAATTTCAGATTTATATTGCAGAGATGCAGTGTTAGATGCTTAAAGCTACATACACAAGTGATGTTGATTTCTGATAGTTTGCTATGTGTTTGGATTGCAAAGATTTCAAATTTCAAGTGGGGAATTATATGATTGAAATTACTCTTATTTATCAAAAAGCAAAATATAGTAATCCTTTGGACACACAAACACCTTGCACGTCAGTAAGAACTATAGGAAAGCGTTCTATTTTTTACATTTTCCCCCCATAAATTTAGAAGTCTTGTTTCTTGATTATGATGTAACTCCACCTAAATTATGAAGTAGTATGAACTGCTTATCTCTAAAAACAGCTTGCATGCTCTGTTGGTGCAAGTGGTACTTATTTAAAAGAATTTAATTAACTGCCATGGTAATGAAATTATACCTCAGTTACTACATATGTTAGAATATTCCTGGATTTGCATAATATACTATGTTTCCCCCCAAAATACAACCTACCCCAAAAGTAAGGCCTAGCCTGATTTTTGGGGGTGGGTGAGGCTAATATAAGACCTATCCAAAAAATAAGTC